GAAAGGCCTGTGGTGAACCTAGGCTGAGTGCCTGCTCAAAAATGCGGCAGTTCAGGTCTCTGGGTGCAGGGAGTGCCTGAGGCTGTTGCTGCCATCTGAGGGTGGCAGAGACACCGTATGTGAGGTGCAAGCAGGGGGATGGCCTGCTCAGCCTGGTGGCAGAGCTCCAGGACGAGGTGTAGAGATTAAGGGCTATCAGGGAGTGTGAGCAGGAGATAGACTGGTGGAGCAACTCCCTGCCAGGCCTGAAAGAAAGGCATCAGGGTGAGACACCCCAGACAGTGGAGGACCCCCTGCCCTGTCACTGTTGGGTAGAGGGAGGGGACCTAGGAGATGAGGAGGAATGGAAACAGGTCAGCATTGCAGGGAACCCCCCTCCCTAACAGACTCGCCTTCCCAGGTGCCCTTACACAACAGGTTTGAGGCCTTGGAGTTTGAGAGACTTGTTGTCTGTCCTTGATGAATAGGGAACTGTTAATCCCTCAAACAGGGAGGTGCTAATTATTGTGTTGTTGCAGCTGTGGGTGACTATTTCAAGCTGTAGGCAAACAGACTATCACCTGATGCCTTCTGCTCTCAGGACTGTTTACAGGGTCCACACAGATTGCTACAGCATGGACCCCTTCCCTGTGGTTAAAATAAAAATACAAAATACAAATGAGACAGAAGAGGGGTGTGCTGGGTTGTTTTTGGCAAGCCAGAAGGTAGCTGAGCCCTCAGGGGGGCTCTGTCTTGCAAATTTGGCTGGCCAAGCTCTCCAGGTGACTTCCTTGAGCCCATCTTCCTGACTTGGCTCAAAGTAGCTGTGTCTGATCTTGAGTCAAGGATAAGGATTTTATATTTATCACTAAAACAAAATATTGAGGTGTGCTTTCTGCCCAGTTGGTCGCCCGGACCCTCTGTGCTTCAGCTCTGTGCTTCAGGTGCCCCCAGAGGAGGCACTAGCACTGGTAGGGGAAACCTCCCAGGGCTGGGAGATGCCTCCATGCAGGGAGAGGTCCCCTCTCACACGGGCTTTGCAGCAAAGCATCAGCTGAAGAGGGGCTTGTGGGAAGAGCTCGATGGGGCCAAGGATATCCCCAGGTTATTCAGGGCTTAAATAAAAGAAGCCCCCCCTGGACCAGCCCCAAATAAGAAGCAGTAGCTGGCTGGTGGCGGCTTTTCTCAACCTCCTTTTCAGCAGGGCTGTGTCTTAGGCAAACACTTTTGTGTGGTCACACAGCTTGGGGGAAGTGTAGAGATGGAGTTGAGAGGTGGGATTAATCCCAAGACCTGGCCCTCGTCACGCTGCACTTGCCTCTTCTGCCTCCTCCATTTGGCTGGCGAAGGCCTAGTGCAGTAACCAGAGACATATCTGAGGATTAATTAATTTAATTTACATTAATTTAATCCAACTTCTGAGACGGAGCCCCAGAGACTGCTTGCAGCGCTTGTGCTAAGCGTGGAGTCGGCACCAGCGGCCGGTGGGTGAGGGGAGAAGTGCTCCTGGCATAGTGTCTGCAGGATGCTGCCTGCTCCTCCTGCAGGGAGCAGAGCCAGCCCCTCACAAGGCTTTTGTGGCTAATGGCTTCTTTTCTCCCTCTGCCCAGTAGCTCCAGGGGTTGTAGCCTGTGCCTTGAGTGAGGTGTACAAGAGCTTGGCCGCACACAGTAGCTTCAGGATCTGGGGCACCTTCGGAATGATCTGGTGCATGTTTCTGCCTCTGAATCCACACCAGCTGCAAAGAGTGTGCTTGGGCAGGGGCCTGCTGCCTTCAATTCATCCCTTTGGTTCACCACAGCAGCATTTCCTTGTGTGATCTCATGTCAGCTTGCCCCCCAGCCCGTGGTTTCTGCAGCCCCCATCATGGCCCAGAGGCCCAGACCCGGCCGCAGGCCTGCACCTCAGAGGCCTGTGTCACCTCTCCCACATGGACAGGTGGAGCAGGAAGTCAAAGTTCAAAGAGTGAAATAGGAAGAGGCAGAAAAGTTTGGCCTGTGTTTGAAAGTGAAGCTAATATTCTTATTCAGTGTCCAGCTGGAAGTATTGGATCATTACTCCATAGTCAGCCTTTGCTTCTTTCAGAGGAAAAGGTGTTAACCCAGAGAAATGGGAGCAGGTGCTTGGATTTTCAGCTGGAGGGGCTCGGAATTTACATTCCTCTGATCTTTGCACAGGCAAAGGTCTGCTCTTTTCCACAGAAAATCTCAGAGTCTTGAAAATACTGGCATTTATTGTCATTAACTTTGTTACTAATTACTTAAATAAACCCCAAATCTCTTCTCCTGCTGTCTTCCTTCTCCACCTCCCCACTCGGGTCCAGCAGGCCTCGCCATGCAGGACAGCTGTGTGCACACCTCCTGCTATGAGTGTAGTTGCAATGCCCTGATTAGACACCAAAATGAAGGCAAACAAGGCTGAGCAGTGCCAAAATATCCTACATGCAAGGCATCTACTGTTCTCTACCCTGTTTCTTAATCTGTTTCTTAATCCAGGATGTGGGTGATGCACTGAAATTACAGGAGCAGCAGGCAGCTCTGCCCCCAATACCTCAAGGTACTCTAAATTAATGCTGATAAAGCTGGCAGCCTCTGCTAATCCCCAACTAAATGCATGAAAACTGATTAATAAAACAAAGCTTCAAGCTCCAGCAGCTCCTGCATTCAGGTCACTGACCCCATTTTAAATAACCAGCTTTTGTGCTCGTACATGGCTCCTGCTCCCAGGGTGGAGAGGCAGAAGGGATGAGCAGGGCCATGCTCTCCAGCATGGCCTGGCTTGGCTTGGTTTCTCCCAGGCTCTTCTCCCCTGGACAGAAAATATTTCCCATTACATAGTCTTTTAACTAAATCTTCCACTTATGTCCTATTAAATGCTTCCTGATGTTTTGTACTAATGGTCTCATTATTTAGCAGTGACAAAAGAATATATTTTGTTTCCAGGAGAGCCAAAGCCTTATTTTCTAACCATGTTTACCTCACTTGGGAGTTTATTCTAAATGTGGTGCTATTAAGACTGCATAAATTTAAGCCAGGTGTGGTCTATGGCATGCTTAAAATGTATATCTAATTTGTTTATACTAGTGTATTGGGCAGGAGGTAAAAAGCGTATTACTTCTGGACACAAACAGAGGGCTTAGCTGTATCTAGTGCAGCTGAAGTTAATGAAACATTTCAGCCCGAGGGGCAGGGACCTCTGCCCGAAGGAGCTGCCCTGCCTGCGTTAACGCCTTCAGCGTGACGGGTGTGAGGAGCAGCTGGGTTAGAAGAACCGGCTGCAGGTCTGCCAGTGTGGTGCATCCATCCCACGGCCTGCAGAGCGGCCCCGGTGCTTGAGCACTTGGCTGGGATTAAGCCGCCAGGAATTCGGAGATCCCACTGACTTCAGCGCTGGGATTTGCCTTTATCCTTTTAAGAGGGCTGTTATTACTGTCATGCTCTTCGCCAGGATGGATTTGGTCAGAAGATTGCAGGCTGCCTTCCCGCCCCAAACAGTTCGTGTTTGCTGCCCATAAGCGGGCACCCTCTGTGCACCCCTTGGCTCCCCCTCGGGACTGGCCAGAGCTGGCGAGCAAACGGGGCACGGAGAGCCCTCCAAGGGTTAAACGCAGATGTTTGCTGGCCAGAGCTTAAGGCCCAAGCTTGCCTGCATAGCCTGTAGTCTCAGCAGAGATGCCCTGCCTTCTAGAAACATTTGAAGGCATTGCGTTATTCCTGAGCATGGGAATTCACAGGCGTTTTCATTAGCCTTCATGAGGAGCTGTAAGCTGCAATTTGGATTCTGTGCAAAACCCTCTGAGCACAAAGCCTTGTGCCAAGGGCTAATGTTCGCTCCTGCTGCAGACTGAAGGGTACGTTTGCAAGCAACAAAGGAGGAGAAGGCATTCATCTCCTGCGTGGTTTATAGATGCCACTTAGCATCCCAGTCTCTGACTTCCAAGAGCATTCTTGCTTCACTGCAAAGCCTGTGACAGAAAATTGGATTTCTCTGAAGTATGAGGTGTTCAAAACACTCATTGCTTCTGTCTCACTTGAAAAACATCTCCCTCTCAGCCCCGAGATATATTAATATCCTTCCCCTGTCACTTCTCCCAAGTTCAGCTACAATAGGAATGAAATTCAGTGGAAGCTGCAAGCACCAGACCATCCTTGTCAAGAGATGGCAACAAATTTTTATGGAGCAAGTTGTATTTAATCAGCTTTTTTTTTTTTTTTTTTTTTTTTTTTGGGAGAATCACAGGTGGTTTTCTTTCCCCCCTCTTCTCTCTCTAAAGTGAAATTAAGTTCATTTCAGAAGTGAACGAACCCTCTGTGTTTGCTTAGTTTAGTGCTGACGGGGCAAGTTGAGCTAGGGTTGGACCGTGCTGGTCCTCACCTTGAACACAGAAAATGGAGAGCCCAGCAGAGCACAGGTGGCTGTGATGGAGCCGTGGTGCATCTCACGGTGCTCTGTCAGAAGCAAAATCTAAATTAAGCTGGAGGAGTTGGTGGGTCTCTCTAGCTGAGGAGACGAGCAGGAAGACTTGACTCTAGGAGGAGCACAGCCGGGAGGGCACTGCGGAGTGACTGTAGGATTTGCCAGACGTTCCTTTTTTAAAGCTGCAAAATTTGAAAATCAAATTAATAGGCTCCTTGAGTCATCCTGTGAAACCTGTAGCAAGCTGTGAAATTTTACTCAACGTATAAACTTCTGTGCTTGTTGTTTGGGCTATTTTTCCCCCTACAGAGAGGGGAAAAGAGAGAAAAGTGAAGGTCATCTCACAAAACTGGCACCTGAACTGAGGGAGGCATCAACATGGAATAACTCCTGTGCACACATGGATCTGCTGAGAAAACTGGGGTGGTGACACAAGGGGATCTGGGTAAAGAAAAACGATCTGATTCATTAGTGTTTTGTCGCTGTTTTATGCTGTTTTAGCTCATATCCTCACAGTAATATTTGAACTCTTTTATAAGATCAAAATTTTGAGTTTCATATACCATAAACCATTTTAAAATTTTTGCTAGAATGGGGAAGAAAAAATGGTGCATGGAGCTGAGTCCTTGTGAAGGATCTTTGTATGTTTTCTTGGGATGCAGAAACAGAGACTGGGAGTAGCCCCCATTCCTTCCATCCTTTTTGTCTCTATGTTCCCCCTTGTTTCAGAGAATCAGGACTACCTGAGGGTCACTAAAGCCTTCTTGTTTAGAGCTCTTACAACCCACAAGACTCCTTTTGCCATTTCTTCCCTTCTCCCGGGCCCTTCTTCCACTTTAAATTCCCTGCCTGCCAGGAGATACCTCATGTTTTTCAGCAAGGCTTTGCTTTGGGCTAGCACTGACAGCAAGCCTGTGATATTCAAAACCTCCCAAGGGGCCTGGATGTTATTTCGTGGGGAGTCTCTATTACTCAGGATCTATAACAGCCCAGCCCAAGACCTACATATTTTATTATTATTATTATTATTTATTTATTTATAGGAAATGAAACGATTTTCTGGTGCTGTGTGAAGCTCAGGCAGGTGGGGAAATGGGGCTGGGACTTGCTTGCCATGCAGGGTGCGTGTAACCCTGCAACCCTGGTGTCCACGTGGCAAACCAGTAGCCATCCCCTCGAGGCTGAAGCTGAACAAGCATTCAGCAACTTTAGTGAGTATTCGAAACTCTTGGACCAGCTGAATTAATGTGGTATTTCAACCTTCCCTCCCCCCTCAAGCTCATGCATGCGGTTTCTGGTACTCGTTGTGCCCTGTGCTGATGGAACACAGCAAGCAGGCAAAGCATCACGCCGTGACAAGGTCACAGAAAGCCAAGGTGAGCCCCACGCTTTTACATAAGTGAAATTCAAATTTAGTTTAAAAAATAAAAATAAAAAAGGGCCAGGGTTGGAGAATACTTCTGTTCTTTTTCTCTGTCTTGTTTGTCTCACTATACTCATTATTCTGCTTTCCTACATGACATCTGTAGGAGTCCAGCTCCTATCCCAGGGGCACAGCAAATCTTTCCTGGCATGATACAGAAACACTGTTGGAGGACTCTTTAAGCCAGATGGAATTGGTTCAGTTTGAAATAAGTCTGAGGAATAACGCTGTTCGGTTAGCATTAAAAACAAAAACGAAACAAAACCCAAAACTTTTGTCCTTTGCTATCAATAGCTCTGTCCCTTTCTCAAATACCACTGCAGGATTTCCATGCTGTATGCAAGGCTCTCCCTTACACATGGGGAAAATTAAATTCTTCTAGTAAGAAGTGTATTTTATTCCACTTGTGTCCTCAGACTTACTCTAAGAATGAATGTCGTGAACAGTGTATGCTGTGGGGTTCAAGGGGTCAGTCTGAAATGCCACACAGGTGCAGGTAATTGGGTCCAGGGTTAAAGGAGTGTCCGCCCCTGATGCTCACTCCTTCCTGAGCTCCCTTCGTGTCCCACCGGGGCTAGAATTAGAAGGGTTCCTTGCTTAGCTGAAGAACATGCAGCCCATGGCTACAGCGTTCCAGCTAAAGTTTTACCCAAACCAGTGGCATAGTGCAAAACAACTGATCAGTGGTTTGCATCACATCAGAGCTGTGAACCCAAGTGGCCAAAACTTGCTCACACAGCTTGTTTTGCTGCTTTTCCTGGGAGAAAAATAATTTTCGATAGGGTGGCAGCTGGGGGAGGGAATACCTCGAAGCCTTGCATCTACATCACTCAGCCTTCGGCTTTAATCAAGTCCTCCAAGGGGCTGAGACGAAAGTTAAAACAGCTGGAGCCACAGTTCCGGTGGTATTCCTGAAGGTAATTAAGCTCTCATTTGCAGGATTTGAAAAGTGCCTAACTATATCCTCTGATAATTTCAAAAATTTGGCCACGGTGTCCATTGCAGATGAAGGAAAACCTTTTTTTTTTTTTTTTTTTCTTTTTTTGCCCCAAACCTAGCTGGTCCTAAAATGAGAACAACCCCCATGACAAGTTTGCATTTGAGGGGAAAAAAAAGAAATGCATAATTCAATTATTGCAGGAAAATACAGTCCTTGGCATCACTTTCTTCTGGGAAACAGCACCTGAAAGGCCCCAGAGATGCTTTTGTGCAGAAAGATGCTGCCATAGCGATGAACAATGGCTTGTAGGGAAACAAGTCTGAGAGACAAGGCTTCAAATTACCCTGCATCTTAGTGCGAAGGAAAACAAAAAGTAGCCTCAGGTATTTCTGAAAAGAAAAAAAAAAAAAAAAGGAAATATAGCGATAGGGAAGGTGGGAGTTGGAGATGAGGGCTATGAAATGCACTTATTTCAATCTTGTGAAGTACCATAGCATATCAAAACACTTCATTGAAAATCAGGAGAGATGGATTTTGACACAAATGTGTCTTCTGAATCATCCAGATGCACTTCTCCCTGCCGACATTATTCATAGGTGAACTTTGAGAAGTGCTGGCCTCATCAAAATGGAAAACCAGATCACTCCTTCCCAGCTCCAGACAAGCTGAGCTCTGAAGCAAAATATATGCTTAGATGCAGGAATATGAACTTTGATGAACTTATAGGACTGGATGGACCTCCAGAGACCAGCTACTGATTTATTTGTATTTTTTTTCTAAGAGTCTGTGTGGCTTTACAAGGAAAATGTAATTTTGTGTTACTGAAATATAATAAATCTCTTTGTATTTCACGCAGGCCCTGGCTTTACCAGCTACTATTGCAGAAATAACTAGAGTGCTTGTAGCTGAGAATTTAAATGGAAGATGAGTTGTAACCATTCAGCAAACTCAGCTTTTCTTTCATGCAGCGTATGAGATATAGCTAGAACAGAGGCAGAGCTCTCTTCTAATCTCACCAGGAGTCACGTTTTAACCTGTAAAACCAAGTTATTCCCAACACACTAACTGTGCAGTTTCTGGTGGTGTCAGGCCAGGCTTTCAGCTTCTTAATTTTCTCCTTCTGTTTTCCAAATGGGAATCTTCTGTGGAGCTACAACCGAATGTGACCTACACCAAAAGTGATCAAAATGCTGCTGTGCTGCTCCAGTGGCGGAGAGGATTGAGGGAGGGAACTGAGGAGATGGAGATCGAATCATCAGGAGCTTCAACACCATCTAAAGCTACCCTGGCCTAAGGGGACAGCCACCTAGATGAAAGGTACTGTATCTTCACCTCTCTGTATTACATTGTGATGTTGCAAGGTTTGTGTCTATTTGTCTGCATTTATAACAACAATTTTCTGTTGTTTTGTTTTGTTTTTTTTTTGGATGTGTCTGTGGAAGGATTATAATAGAGAAAAATGAGGAAATATAGGATTATGTTTTGAGCTCAGTCCTCAAATCAACAAAGGAATAAATCTGAAAATGATTCAGCTAGATTGTCAGCCTGCAAAATAACCTATTTTACCATGAAAGCGCTGCACAGCATTCCATGAATATATACATTTGATTCAACATCCACAAAATCGCTGCTCTGATCTGGTACAGGAAAGGTTTTTATGACTCTCTTTTCTCCGATGTCCACTGTCTGGAGTGGACCCGCAGGTACCTGACTGTGTAGGTGAACAACCATCTTCCTGGGCTATCTGCTCAGTGGGTTCATTCTTACCTCTGGTGTGGCTCTATGGTGCACCCCATCCCCGTCAGACCCGGACCCTAAATCTAAAATTCAGAAAGCTTTAGAGCCTTTCACCAAATCTACAGAAAATCCGTGTTCGTTGCCGGTAGCGTAGGACCTCTGTTCCTTCAAAACCACAGCTAGCAGCAATGCACCAGGGCCCCTGCCTCTGCTGACACTCTTGGTAAAGAAGAAAAAGAAAAAAAATAAAACATTTCTCTGTTGACATCAGTGCAGCAAGGAGTGGGCCCAGCTTTATTCACACCCACACAACATGCTTAATTAGAAACTATTTTCCTCCAAGAGCAGACACTTGAATTCTCTGAGATGTTGCACAGAGCTTCGAGGGGGAGGTACCAAGGGCTGGGGGTGCTGCAGCTAGGAGGAGGCAGATAGCTGTTGGAGAAGAAATTAGGGCCTCGGCTCAGGGTAATTTTGTAATGATCCATAATCAAAGGCTATTTGAACGTTCTTCGGATACTTTCAGAAGCGTTTTCCATCACTTTCAAGATGGATTTGTCTTTAAATCTATTTTCTCCCCAGAGGTAGCAGGGGCCTGAATTTCCCTGCATAAGGCAAGCTACCTGAACTGATGAGGAGGAGCCATCTTGTGCTGAAAGTCACTTTTCCTCTCGATTTCTCTTTTTTTAGCCCGTCATGAACATTTTCCATCAAGTGCTTTCAGCCCTGTTCCCGGGGAAATGGGCATAGTTGTTTATTAGTATTATAAAGAACAGGTTTATGCCCGACTGAATTAGCAGAGCCTGCGTCCACAGCCTCCTTACAGCTCGGCCATCAGGATTTATGGAGGAGGCATTAACCACTTGCCTTGTATGTACAGTCGCACGAAATTACTGCAGATCACAGCCCATGTGTGACAGCTTAATGGCAGTGCTAAACTGCAGTTAAAGGCAGAGACTTCACAAGAGCTGTCCTAATTCATACCCTAATTGCGTGCCGGGAGGTTTGCGCCTCTAAGTGCTGTCATGGCTTCCATGAAGGCGAGCAGCTGAGTGTCCCAGCGTGTCCATCCCAGCTCTTGGAGCACGTGTGGGGTGAGGAAACCTGACCCAGTGCAAGCACTGTGCCTTGTTTAAGGTGTGAGAAGGCCTTGCTGGGACCTGGTATAACACTTTAAGCCTTCTTATTAGACTCGTTCGAAGCACATAAACTCAGGCACAGTGTGCATACAGACCCCCAGCAATTTCTGAAGGTGTGTGCTAGGTGTGGTGGGAGAAGCTGGTGGCTGGGAGTTGCCTAAGGGCAGCAGTGGGGAATCCGCAGCGATAATGAAGAGAGGGAGCTGTGCGGAGGCTCCCCGAAGCGCTCGAGTGCCCGCTGCTTTATTGGAGCCCAGCGCAGTCCTTCCTTCTGCTGCTTAATCCATTTTGATTACTCGATAGCTGACTAAAATTGAGTAAAGCTGTCACTACCGGCAGTGAAGATTAAGATGTGCTGTGCTACTCGTGGTTATTTTCGTTTCAATTTGGAGGATAATGCAGTGCCTCGGCACACTGGGGCTATGCCTAAACCACAGCCTCCCCTTCCCATCTGCCTGTCCCTTGGCTTCACCTGGCCGAGCAGGTGAAATGATGAAAACATTTGGATTTTTGTATTAGAATGTGCATTTTAAAGTTACTTTAGTAAAGCGTACTGGCATACTGAAGTTTCTTTTTGCAAAGAATTCAGAGTTTTGCTCAAGCGTGACTGTACGCATTGATGATTAGTTCAAGATACGGAAAAAAAGATACAGTTTGCAGAACGTAGTATCTGTGGTTAATTACAGGCGTGTTTTTTTTCAGGGAAGGCTATTTTTTTTCCATTACAGCTTTGATGCTCCTATAGTGTGCTTCTTTTCTCAGTAGTTCTCAAGCTAACATGTCCAATTAAAATAAATAAATACATAAAAACATTCCCAATTTTACTGAACCCTTAATTGCTATACCTGAGCATATTAAAGGGCACAGTATCTGCAGTAGTTTTTTACTTTCAGCAGAGGAAAACCTGAGTAATTCACGTAACGTTCAACTTCATACACATCAGTTGATGGGATGCATACTAAATGCATTTTGCAGCATGAAGAATGTACATCCTATCTTATAAGGCAAGTTACTGTGTGTTTTACAAAGACAAACTCACTTCCAGGGAGATGACTCCTAAATGAGGAGAGATTATTTAGTAGTATCTTGTGTCTGAAACCTGACCAGCGTACGAGCCTAGCGCTGGATTTCTGGCCTGCTTTATTTTTTTCTTTTTGCTTGGCTGAGGGTTGTTCTCTTCCTCCTGACTACTTGTTAGGCTTTATTTTTTTCTGTTGTGCTTTTGTGTAACTACTGAGGAAGGGCACTGTGAGTCCATTGTAGGGTTTCTGGCACGAAGGGAAGCTGAACATGACTGCAGCTTTAATATGCTATCATATTATAATGAGGGTTTTGTAATTGGGAGCCTATTACAGAGAGATTTTTCAAGATACAGCTAAAAACGTCCAGGTTGCAAAGAAGCTTCAAACCAGAGTTAAGGCAGTCTGCTGGAATTGTACTTGGGATAGCATTAACTTCATGGTGACGTCTTTTGGCTTGTGCCTCTTTGAAAAAGGCTGAACCATCAACCCCATTGCGAGAGTCTGGGGAAATCCCGGCCTGCGTTCCCATCAGAGACATGCATCCACTTCCAAGCTACCCCACAGCCAAGACCAACAGGGCCTTTTTATTTTGGGGAACCATATAATAAAGGCTGTAGTAGTCGACGTGCTGTAGGAGTGAGTTGTGTCCCCTGCGGTGGCAGCCTGTGATTAGGAGGAGCCGGGTTTCCTCCTCGGACAAGGAGAGAGCAGAAGGAAGCCGTGCTCCTCACACAGCGTGATCAGGTTACTGGCTGTGCAGCACATCCAGGGCTAAGCAACCACTCCTGCTGATGCTGCAGTCCCAGCAGCAACCCAGAATGAAACCCCAGCCAGCAATCAATGCATGAATCAATGTAGCTAATTTTCTTTTATTATTATTATTATTATTATTATGCAATGAAAACAAATAAGCGGATGCCAGGAAGAGCTGCTTGATCCAAGGGCTACACTTTCTTCCTCCTGATAAAGATAACAGTGGCTCCCCCCTTTTTTGAAGTAGTTATTGAGCAGCTCAGTGGGATGCTCTGAATAGTGCTCACAGGGAATTTATTCTACTGGAAAACTTACTATTCCTAAAGACTGGAAGTGCAGCATTAAAAAATCACTAAACCAGCACCAGTTACCCAAGACAATGGGAGCAGCCAGGTGTTCCCCTCTGTTCCTGATGAGCAAATTCATGCAGAGAAGTTAAGGGGCCTGCCTAATGTGCCTTCTGTGGGGAGCAAAGCTTTGTGGGCCACTCTACCTTCCCAGAAATAAAGATGCTCTCTAAAGATGCAATAAACGAGAAGTTCCTAATTCCAGTGAGATATACTTGATTTTGTTCCTGATACTTATCACAAAAGCTCTGATTTAAAGGATTACTGGGAATGTGGACAAGGGGGAAAGTCCTGAATACTTCTAAACTGACTCAATGCTTGGTTAAGGCCAACCTGTCAGTTGGATGGGTTGTTATCAACTGAATCTTAAGCTGATTTACAGCCTTGGCTCCTCCAGTGCTTCAAGAACTGGAAAAAGCAGCACTTGAAGCTTACTGCTAAAGTTGGCCTGCTGAGTTACTGAACTTTGAGGAAGATGGTAACGGGATAAAGGATTGTTTATCTTCTTCTTCATCGAAGATTTATGAAGGTGGCTTTGTAACAGAAGACAAAATTACTAGTGGGAGTTAAAAATACAGTCATCCTCAGATAGATTATGAAATTGCAAAATCCAGAGATGGATAACCTGAGTGCAGGTTGGACAGATTCTTGAAATAAATTTTTAAAGGGGGAGGGGGATGTGAGAAGGAAAAGGAAGGGAAGGGAAGAAGAAAGGAAAAGAGGAAAAAAGAGCATTTTTAGACCGATGGGGGTGCTTCAAAGTAAAATGGCTGAAAAAAGTAGTGGGAAGAACAAAGGATATGAAAGGAGGATAGGCTGTAAAGCTCAGAGAAAAGGGTCCTTTAGGCAACATTTATGTTTGTATATCAGATGAGGAATAGAAGATTCATGGGACAAAAATTACTCCTTTTTTTCTGTTTTTCCAAATTCAGAAAACACAGATGAACACAGTGATTGTTCCAAGCGAGCTGCAAGGAATAGATATCAGCCAAGTGTCTAAGATGAGGAACTCAACAGTTCCATTTCCAGTCCGAGAGAGGAATGAGAAAGTAAGTTGGGGGTGCTGTGGGAAAGTATTTGTGTTATGTGGTAGTTATCTCTTCCAAGCATGGCTCTAAGGTGGAGTTTTCCATAGGACAACATCCCAGCCATGAGAGTTTCCAATCTATTTTGGTTTAAGTGGCAGTGAGTTTGTCTGTTGTGGGGGTTTTGAAAATCTCCGTATCAGAAGGTAGATCTGATGAGCAGTGTGTGGATATTCATGCATGCAAATGAGAGGTTCCTATGTCTTGCATGAGTGTCCCTCCAATTGGCCACTGCCTGATGTGTGGTACACCTCTCCCCTTCTTCAATTTCATATAATTTTGGTTCAAGACCACAGAGATGCTGCCAGTGAGGGTTTCACCACAACCAACGTTCAAGCACAAAGGGTCACTTTTGACTCATCATGCAATTTTGATGAAAAAGGCAGTTAGAAAACTCCCAAGCCCAGCTGTCATTTCAAATGTCATTCTTTCTGAAGGGGGAAAGCTTTTTGGAAAAAGGATTATATTTTTGTTTTACCTACAGCCTCTGAATGTGTGCGTGCTTCCAGAGATAGATCCCTTCAAATTAGAATGCTTCTTGTGAGCCATCACAAGCTTCATCCTAGGTTGTATGGACTGCCTTGATTCAGAAACATGCAGCAATTGCTGGTAGAGCTATACCGAAATCCAGGCTTTGGCACAGCAGGACACTGAGTTTAGAGCCTTAAGCATACACCTGAAATCATTAATGATTGTGAATTATTGAGGAGAAAGGTAGGCAAAACCAGACTTTATTAAAGACAGCCACAGGAATTGTTCTGTTCTGCTACCACAGGCAGAAACCGGAGTTACCTTCCCATTGGGTACAGCAGCATCAGGTGGTTGATAGAGCAAAATAGAGTGAGTCTTCACGTCACACTTACGTGGAAACCCCATCATAACTTTTGGCAAATCTTGCTGTTTCAAAAAGAAGGAAAGAAACAAAAAAACACACAAAAAACACGTTGACTTAGTACATTGTAATTTAGAGGACCTCCAGAGAACAGGTTCAACAGTTTCCCAAATTCAAGCTACTCGAGCTGTTCATTAAGGACATTACTTGGATCACGGATGCTGCCAGAGGTGCCGTTTTGGACATGAAGGTGCTAGCATAATTTTAGGAACAGCTGTAGGGAGAAATGGAAACCTCTATTTCTGCAATCAGTGCAAGTATATAAGTGGATGTTGGAGTCCTGAGTGGAAAAACACAATGTTTTACTTGCTTTTCCTCTTTCTGCTCCTTTCTTGGATGTGAAACTATCCATAAGTTTTGGTTTAGCAGCTAGTGAATAGGGCTCTATGAGTACAGTATATATTTTTTACAACTGTAACTTGTAGAAAGGAAACATAAACCTGGATAATTCTTAGAGAATATATTGTAAAATTTCCAATTATTTTGAATTGCAAATTTTATCAGTTACCAGTGGATTAAACTGAGTTTTTTCGAAGGGGCAGAAGTAGAGGACTGGAACGGAAGAGAACTAGATTAAAGAATATTCAGATAAGATGGATGTAGTGCAGTCAGCAGGGCCTGATGGAGTTCACCCCTGAGTACTTAAGGTGCTGTCTGAAGCAATCTCTGAGCCATTAGTGATTATCTTTAAGAACTCATGGAGGAGAGAGGAGGTCCCTGAAGACATGAGAAGGGCAAACAGAGTGTATTATGTTTTAAAGAGGGGAGAAGGAGGACCCTGGGAATTACAGACCTGTCAGTCTAACTTAGGTCCTTAAAAGATACAGGAACAAATCATTAAACAATCAATTTGCAAGTAGCCAGCTGATATGGTGATGAAAAAAAAAAAAGAAAAGAAAAGAGAGAAAAAAGAAAGAAAACATAGACTTGTCAAGAACGATTGATGTCAAATCAATCTCATTTCCTTCTTTGTCACAGTAGCTTGTCTAGTGAATAAAGAGGAAGCAGCAAATGCAACAGTGCTTGATTTTAGTAACACTTTTTGACATATATGACAGGCTAAGGAGTATGGTATAGATATAATTACAATGGGGTAGGTGCATAGCCTGTTGAAAAATAGCTCTGTAGCAACAGCTAGTGCTGGATCACTGTCAGGGAGGATATTTCAAGTATGCAATTCAGCAGCTTGTCTTATACCCAGGTTTTAATAAATATTTTTTCTTGGAAGCTGAACAACAAGCAAACAAGTGCAACCTGTGGATGGCACAATTAGGAGATACCGAAAGACCAAGGAGGCCAGGATTTGAACTTGAAATAATCTTTACAGCTCGGGGAAATGATTCTGAAATATTACAATGAAATTCTCTCAGGAACAGTCCAAAGTGCTGTACCTGGGAAGACGAGATGCAGAGACATGATGTGGGGCGGTGGTGGCTGGGGAGAATAACTAGGCAGCAGTATGTTTGTAAATGACTTGAGGATTGCAGAGAATCATGAATTAAATGTTCTGGGTTGTGTGAGGAGTGCCATCCTTGAGACACAGCCTATGATTACTTTCCTGTCTTTGCTTCACTTCTGGTACTGCATCCATTTGTGCGTGCCACCTTTTGATGCAAACGAAGAGGAAACAGAAAATACAAGGAAACAGAAAACACCAGGAAAGCAGTCAGAGCACAGAGTGCTGAGAAGCACGAACTGCGAGGAGATGCTGAATTGGGAATTGGGTTTGTTTACTTCAGGAAAGAGAAGGCTGAGAGAGAAATATGACAAGACTTCCAGTATATATATATGTGTGTGTGTGTGTGTGTATATATACGTAAGTGGTGGCTGTGAACAAGACAGTGATCAATTGTTCTCTTTGGTCACAGAGAGGATAACAAGCAGAAATTATCTTAATTTGCCACTTAATGTCAGGGTGAGAAGAGTTGGCGCTGTCATGCAAGGATGCTCCTTGCTGTTTTTTTTTTTTTTTTTTTCCTTTTCTCTCTTTCAGACAAGTCAGACAGTGCCTGTTGGGAGGCCCTGGCTCTGTTTCAGTGCAGGGAGCTCATTCCATGAGGTTTCATACAGCCTCACATTTCTGCTCAGAAAAAAAAAAAAAAAAGGCAAAACTGTTCTTATCGCTAGAGTTTCCATTTTAACGCTGCTTTGACTATATGCCAGAAATTGTTTGATTTGATGGCCTTACATTGCTCACCACGAAAATGTCAACATTTATTCTCTGTTACCATCCTCTGTACTGAAGATACTGCAGTATTTCAGTTCATAATAAGCCAGCTGGTCCATTACACATACTCTCTTTCTGAACATCAATTACTGCCTGCTTTAGACTCTCCTTCGTTCTCCATGGCAGCATCACTCCAAACCTTATTTCGTGGAAGATAAGAGACAAAACAGGCTTATATAAATATTAAATGAGAATGTTGTGAAAAGAGATTATCTGAGAATCTGTCCCTTGGAGAGAGAAGCAGAGCAGACCCTCGCATTAAAAACATCTTAATGCTGCTCTCCAGCAGAGCACAGACACCCCTGAGTACTCCAGTAATCAGATTCTGACACAGGCAAAGACCCAGGGCTTTTTTGTCGTGTTGCTGGCAGGGATTTCAGTAGCCAGCTCCTGGCTGACCCCAGGGCGAGCAAGAGACAAAGCTGAGGGATCTGTAGGACCAAAATCACTCTGATGGAGGCATTGGGGAGAGCGTGGGGACAGCCCCATTCAGGTTGACCCCGTGGTTCAGCAGTGTTGACAGCTACCTTGGTGACTTTTTTCCTCGTGTTGTCACCTATTGCAACTCAGCCGGTCCCTTCTTTAAGTGATACATAGGCTACGCCACCGCCGGGAGAAGTCATTGATTATAGGGTACGTTAGCAATAATACCACGGTTAACATGGGGTGGTTTGTTAGAGCGGCGAACACCCTCCGCTTTGCTTTCAGTTATTAATTAACCAACCAGTCATTAACTGCTGCTAACAATTGATTTACAGGGAATTATTGCTTAAATAGCAGGAGGTATTTAAGAGGAAAATAAATTAAAACAAAGAACTGCTGGATCCTTGGGCACAGAAAGGACTCCTTGTAATATAGAGAATGGCTGCTACAGCCCTGTAATTACAGAGTGATAAACAGTCATTGGGAAGTGCGTTCCTTTCCAGAGACAATGACATTATGTCTCCTGGAAAGAGCCCCTTTGTCTGCGCTAATTGAATGATCTGAAATGAATGATGTTATCAGAAACCTAACCCAGGCAACTAATGTTATATTTATGGGTTATCAAAAATATTTAATCGCAGCCACGGTCTCTCCAAGATGTGTCATGGACACTGCAGCGTCCAAAAGTATGATTGAGGGCTGGTATGGCACATTATCTTAATTATAAAGCAGAATTACAAGTTCTTCCATTGGTTCTGCCTCCTTCCACACTGGCAGAACAAATGAGACCTATTAACCCAAGTGCAAGTGAACACCGCCTCCTAATGACATTTTTTCCTCTCTGTGGGCAGAGAGAAAGAGAGAAAGTGGTTGCATTTTTTTTTTTTCCCTGGGAAATAGTGACACAAATCAATTTATGGGGCTCGCAACACGTGCAAACCTCTCTCGCAGCTCCTTCTGCTGAATCTGCCCGTGCCGGTGCCACCAAGGTCAATGTCTGGGTTGACTTAGCAGGCGTCACTGAGCTCTTCAGCCTGCATTTGCCATTTCCAAGTTTAACCGTGTTTCACTGCCCTCTCCTGGAGCCAGAGGTTGAATGCTGCATTTTAGGCCCTTCACTGCAGCATTAGCAAAGATTAATTTCATGTGACGGCAAAGAGAGAAGACTACTGCTCCTTCAGACCTGAGGCTGTGAGACGGACAGAGAAGAGGTGGGAAGGTATTGCTGAAAAAAAATGTGTCCTGTGCTTCGGTTTTTGGGATTGTTTGGTTTTGTGGATACGTGCCAGTTTTTCTCTTCCACATGTCTTTTTAGGATGTGATTTCTGTAAATAGGCTGGCAAAAATCTGACCTGCCCCAGGAGATGAGTAGTGATATGGGGGCTTTGGGGTGACTCCTTGAGGGGCTTCTCAAATCTTCGATCAGGATCTCCATTTTTGTTTGCTGTTTTTGTTCATACATGCTGCAGATATTTCTTCAGTCCTTCAATGAATGCAGGCATTTCTGACCAAAACTTTAAACTCCCAAAGCTTTTCTTGCTTGGCTCCTGATAGTTTGACTGCCATTTTTGTTTTGGGTTTAGATGTGTTATGAACATCTTGGAAAGTCCATAGTGACCTCTTGCCTTTGACATCTCCTCTGCCTTTTCATTCATTTCTATGTACAAGAATATTTAACTTTGTGATTACCTGCAAAATAAATAGCTGCTTATGAAAGGATGTGGAGAACAACTGAAATTGAACGTAACTTGGGGTTTGGGACCTTTTGCATTTCCTTATTCTGGCATTCCTACATGGCTGGATTTCAGTACGTTTCAGTACCAGGAGGTGGCACTGACAATCACAGGGATCTGCAGTAGACCTAAAAGGAAAACCAGTTGGTAAAACCTCTGTTGATGCAAAGTATGACTACAGCTGTGTGAGTCTTCGCAAAGGTCTGTACGTCTCTTTTGGCTTTTTTTAGCAGCCTGCAGAAGAGTGGGAGACAGTCCCTTTCCAGCCAAAATTCTTAGTTCAGTCCCAAAAAGGCAATGCAGGATTTTTATAGGTTATATGATGTGGAAAGATGAGCTAGCAGGGAGAGTTTCAGTTTCATGATTCCCTACGGTATTTGGGAACATCAGCAAGCTGTTATCAGGTCAGATGTGTTTAATCCTTCCAAAACGCACCTGAGATCATTCCGGCACTCCCTGGGGCAGGAAGAAATAGGTAACTCTGGCACATTTTTTAGAATGGGAGATCTTTTGTGATGGTTGTAGAGCTGGAGTCAATAAACAGCCTAAATGCCTTCATTTACCTCACAGGACAGCAGTGCTTGGTGGCTAGGTTCAAGAGACAGATACCTAAGGCCTGGGACAGTGCTTGGTACCTCAATGTGGATCAATAGGTCTATTGGGGCTCTGGTTTGTGGACTGTTGGTACCCTGTCAGATGTCAGGAGGCATCCTAAGAACTGAAAAGTTATTTTTCAACAGTCACGCACGCAAGCAAAGAAATGAGCCAAACTGGCGAACGGAAGACACGAACCATCAGGGGTCGGCCTACCTCGGTTTGGGTGCTGAGGCAAACCATCATGGTGACGCTGCCCAGAACGGTGCTGGGGAAAAAAAGAAAAATATTGGAAGATCTGGAATCACATTTAGGTGCAGGTTCCTCACTTGGGGCTATGAGGAAGGTCAGCAGCGGCCCGCCACTCCTGAGGAAAATGGCTTCCCCTCAGTCTTTCAAGGAGCGAGGAGAGAGACATTTCTTTGAAAAATATGAAGGGTACTTGCAGTAAGTCTCGCCTGAAGGCATTTTTGAGATATTGGGAGTACATTGTCCAAATCTCCCCTCAGCCTAAGAAGATTTAAAGCTAAATTTCTGATCTCCAAAGGGAGTTTCCAAGCTGTCAGTGTGAGAGCAAGGGATGTCTTCCTCAAAGCTCGCACCGGGGCTTCCTGATTTCATTTCCTAAGACCAACGGGGCATAAACGTGAGGTGTCAAAATAAGACAGCTGTGCACATGCCCAGATGTGGACCTTTCCAGCAGGAAATCTGCTTCCAGCAATTGGTTTGCCTTGGGCAGACTGAGCCTGGGCACAGTCCTCCACGAGGCCTACCCTGAGATGCCTGAGGAGTAAGACGTAGCAGGAAAACTAAATAAATTATGGGCTATTGGAGGACACAGTATTTTTAGGCAGTTGTTTGTGATGGGTTTTGGTTGGCTACAAAGCCTGTTTCTCATTACACAGCCTGCCCAACACGTGGTGCAAACTGCCTCAGGCCTGGGAGTGAGCAGGTTCTCAGTTTTCCCATTTTAGCTGTCTGTGAGAGTATGAAGGACCCAATACAACTAATAAACCAGTGATTGATTCAGTCTGGCTAGTGACGGTTGTCTCTGATTGTATCACCAGCTCTTCTCAAAACAGTTACCATAGTAATGAAAAATATCTGCAAGGACTTGAAGATTTTTAGGGACAGCAAATGGACAGTATAGTACAAAGAGTATCCAAGAAAGAAGTCATTAGGTGGAGGCTGTACTGAATTGCTTCTCTGGATGCTGTCTGTCTTAGAGAGAAGTAACCACAGGCCCATTCATTTGCACACCTGATCTTTGCTTTGCACACCTGATCTTTGCTTTATCTACATCTCCCAAGATAGACAGGGATTGCCTGTTGAATTTTGCTTTTGTTTTTAGATAGGTTTTTAACAGAACTTGAAAGAGAGTGCATTGCCTAAACATTCAGCAGAGTTCATTTTTTATGCAGTAGGAACTGACCTGCCATTTATTTAATGTCATCTTTCTTTTTTTTTTTTTTAACGTTTAATCAATATTAATTGATCTTTATTGTTCTTAATTCAACTAAACGAAGTATTGTGTGTTTGAAAAAGCCATTTAATTGATGAGGTAGATCTAACAATTACTTTGTTGTTTTACTCTGTTGTTATCTAATTAATGCAGGGTGTTTTATTTGTTTGTTTGCTTTTTTGTATTTTAGTTTTACTTTGGAAGTAAAAATTCAAGGGTCGTAATATTGGGAGAATGAATACATTGCTATGATGTTGAACAAAAGTATTAGGAAAGCTGCTAAAATATATGCCAGAGAATTAGTAGCAGCATTTAAAGGAAGCTTATTTAATGTTGCCTCCTGTCAAATCAGGGCTTTTGGTGGATATTGGAGAATTTAGGTCAAGCTACAGCAAAGACAGACTCTGACTAGAGTTTTACAGCAGCTTTAAGACCCCAATTAGTCTGTGGGCTTCAGATTCTCGAACGAGCTTTGTGTGAGGTGTTGTGAAATCATGGATAACTCAGGAACCGGTCAGTGATTTATGTTATCTCCTTTCCTCGTTTGTTATTTGAAACACAAAAAGTATTTGTTCACCCTTTCCATTATTCTTGGAGGCTTGATGTGTTTTTAAATCCCTGTTCACAAGTATGAATGTTTCAAGGGTCTGGTGCTCCCAGCAAGGACCATGAGCAGGAAGGGGCTGTGGGGAGGGTTGTGAGCATCTCTGAAAACACCTGCGAAGAATTTCCTTGCTCAAAGCAATGTGAAATATGTGAGAGGAGTAGAGAAGAGAAGGCTGACATTTAGATTAAGAATTGTTGACCACCAAGTGTTTTTGGGACTGAATATCTGGCAGCAAATAAGGTGAACTGAAGTGTAGCTTATCTGTTTGGCTGGGTTTCCAGGGCTAACAAGTCACTTATCCAGGAAACAGACTGATTGCTGAGGGAGGAGTGGGGCTGGAAAAATATTTTTTTTACTGAGGATGCTTTCAAAGGTGCTCTTCCCTTTTGCTGATTATTCCCACGCTGCTTTTTTCCCCCTCCGTCTGTGTAAGGCTCACCTACATCTGGGTGCTGGTGTTTGCTCCTGAAGGGTGACATTTTGATGAAATATCAGGGCAGAAGGCTTCACCCTAGCCATCAGATTAGTCTGTAGCTGTCTGGTTTTATCTAGCACCTCGCATCAGAAACTGATTGTTTCACCTACAGGATTTGTTCAAGCTGATTTTATTGGTGGAACTATTGAGGCATTGACAAATAATAAAGAATAACAAAGAAACACAGATTGAAATAACAAATCTTTCCCTCAGCTGGTTTTGTTTGAAACATCTGAGATTATTTCTGCACAAATGGAACTCTCTCATGAAGAAAACATTTCTTAAAGAACAAGAAACACGGTGGGGTATGACACGGAGCTTGAATCTTCAATCCATGCTGGAAGAAAGGCATACATGCACACTAGTGGTCTCTGTAAATTCTCTGTAGAAAAGTTTTTTGTAATTTCTTAAGGGATGGAAAAAAAAAGACAGAGAAATTCATCTAAAGAGGATTTAATAGGATGCAAAATATTTGTAGGATTTTTTTTTCAACCATCTCACAGCATTCATTTACTGTGCTCTGATGTTTAAGTTCTGTATGCAGAAAACACCACTCTTGGGAGTGATCATTTGCTTTCTACGGCTTCTGTCCACAGGGACTGGGCAGCCTCGCCATACAAGCAATCCAGCTGCACCAGGTCAGTTTGATATTTCAGCTTAAATGGTTATAGCAGCAGCAAAGGAACCACGGGGAACCCCACTCCACACCTTGTTCTTTATCCTAAAACTGCTTGCATAGAGAGGAATGATCCTTCAGAGAGTTAACACTCGCTGTTAAGTGCATAAAGGCGAGGGGGACCTTTTAAATCCAATGTTCACATCTCTATGTACAGATTCTTTTCCCAAAATTAAGATCTTTTGGCCTCGCTCGCAGGAGGCTTCTTCTGTCACCTAATGAGCAAGTGTGAAATACACACGGAACACAAACATGCCCTGGGAATTACCAAAATAAATAACTAAATGCATACATGCAAGCAATGGAACCCTGATTCAGGACACCGCCCAGCTACCTGCAATGGCAGCTTGCCTGAAATAGCCTTGCAATGCTATGAGCAAGCTGCCTGTTGTGTTTTTTTTTTTGTTTTTTTTTTTCAGAGCCACAGCAAGACTTGCAAGGCGTTGTTTTGAAGTGCTGCTGGCTCTTCCTACAGTTCATCACGGATCTTGTTAGGAAATGAAGGAGAGGAAACTGGGCAACCGCGCTGCTGGGCCACGAGGAAACACACAATGAGCATAATGAAGCCAGCAGCTGCAGGACAATGGGAGCAGGCTGGGGCTATTTTTGTTAGATGGGAACAATCAATCGAACGTGTGAGACCTTATCACGCTCCCTCCCCGCCTTCTCCCCCTTTCTTGAGCACTGGAAATTTTCCCAAAGAGCTTTCCTTTTCTCTTAGTAAAGATGATTACCATCATAATTTTCTCTTTCATCTCCAAGCAGGTTTCTTTTGGAAGTCTTTGATGGCTTCCTCTGAGTGCGGCTATATTGTCTTGCTGTGACAGAGTGATTTGCAGCTGGGTCACGCTCGGCATCAGGAAACCTGGAACAGTGTTCACCAGCATTTATGAGTAGGTAAGGGTCCCCTAACCTCTCCTTGGCTGGGTGCAAAGGCTGGAAGCATTGCTCCAAAGTTATCTTTGCAGAAAAAAAAAAGAAAAAAAAAAGGAATTTGGACTGGGCGAAGCTCTCACAGATGGAAAATAACAGCAAATGTTTGCATCCTGAGATGCAATGAGAAGAAATAAATACATAATTAAGATACTACTCATTGCTCCAATGTCTGAATTCTCCATCTTCATGACTCCCTTCTAGGAGCAGGCCTTTTAAATGTCACAGCACTATTAGCTCCAGCTTACAAATGGAAAAAAACAGAGGGACATAGACCAATGATTTATGATGTTAAGTGAGATGGAAAGAAAAAGTGTATTTTGTGCGCTCTCTCTAAACAGAAATACATTCTTCCTTTATGCTCGGGTTATAAATGTATAACCCCTTCCCAGTGCACGTATGTCTAATTTAAATCTTTTCAGTGTCCTGTGCGCCAGTAACAGATACGCTACCTTAGATTCTCATGCTTCATAACTATGAAAGGAATATTAATTGGGAAATGGGCTTTTCTAACATTTGATATTTCATGCATGCACTGCAGCAGCACTTACAGGTTTGCTATTAATACTTTTTATCTTCAGTTCTTCAATGTGTAAGTCTTTCTCCCTTTATGAAGCAGCCTATTAGTCACACACAATCAATACTTTCTGCACTTCCACCTATTATCTCAATGTCACTGAGATCTGGCTAGGGCTTCATACCACAATTCTTGCTACTACTTTAATCTCATTATAATGACGTGTTTACATTGGTAGCAGTTTAATCAAAATTGGATGTGTTTATAACACTTAGTGCAGTTTAGAAACAGCTTAGTTTTACTTTACTACAAAGAAACCACTAAATTGACTGCAATTCCTAATCAATATAGCTATAATTCTTGGAATTTAAATAGGATTTTAAATGGCCTTGCCTGTGCTGCTAAGGGTGACATGGCTGTCTTGTAATTTGTCATCTACAGAATCCATTTCCAAGCAGTCTGTTGTTTCATTCTGCTTCCAGTTACCAACCCAGCAAGATTTACTTACAGATTCTTAATATTTTTTCCCCCTCTCATTTCTACCATCTTTTCTTCACCTGGATTTGACTGAATGAGTGGTGGCAGTGCATCATGATGGCAAACTGTGAAACATCCTGTGACTGAATCCATCGTTGTAACCCACGTTGGGTATGGCAGAGGAGGAGGTGCTGGTGGGCCTCGGCCGGCAGACTTCTTCCCATTTGGATGAGTTTTGCCATTCTCTTCAGTTTCCAAATATGCTTTTCTGGTCCAGATTTATCTCTACTAGTTCTCCAACTCTTTTTTTTTTTTTTTTTTTCCCGAGATCGAGCTCAATTTCACTGTGAAGAGCTTCAGGTCAAACTCAGCTCATTGCTGGAAACTCAGATTGCAGTTTTCTCCGAGTGACAAAGTCAGTGCTCTGACCTCACCGGTCACGTCTGAAAAGCCTTGGACAGTGCTTGCGATCTCAATTCACAACTTAGGCAAACTGTTTGTTCTCTGTTTCAGACCGGTCTGTAACACTGTGACCCAACTTACAAGCATTGCAGCATCTCTTTGGCCTTCCATCCTTGAGCAAAGCTTTGGACAGGCAAACACTAATTGATTCATCAGATATAATCCGGTATCCTGATGCAGACCAACACTTTGTAGGCTATGCAAAAGCTCCCCGTGAAATCAATGCCCATCTTGACCCCATTTCTGTGGCTGCCTGGTTTGGTAGTGATGGAGGCTTTCGAGGAGGTGCTGGGCCAGGCCTGGCTAGAGGTGTTTTCTTTGTGGCTGTAGATCCAGTGGACCAAACTGCTAGAAAATTGAGCTTCTAGATAAATAACCCTAAGTCCAAGTGTTATAGAACTATGCTTATTCTTACTGTGCTCTTTTATCCCCGAGCTGACTCTTTCTGAAGAGAATAAAATAAGTTTTAGGAATGCCTTTTAACAGCCTAAGTATATCCATAACATGGTTTCCCTGAAATAGCTGGAATTGAGATTATTTCTAGGCCCTGTGACCCTCCCTGGAAAGACAGCTGCCCTCTGACTTTGGTGCTGAATTGCACAGATGCTTGCAAAGTGGAGCCCCGTTTCATTGGTGCTTCTGGGTATTTAAGAGCTCTTTCACCAAGGAGAGATGACAGCTTTCTTTTCAAATCAGCTCACTTAAGGGGAAAAAAAAATAAGAGAGGATGGGGGAAGAAAAAGCTCTCAGCTCACGAAACACAAAACTGCTTTTATCGTGTTGTTGGATACGGGCAATATTTTTAATCTCTTTCTCACAAGCGAGCCTGAGCTCAGGAAACCCAGGATGCCTCCTGAAGACAGAGGTAGCTAACCAAAAGCATCTCCAGGATGTGTGGAATCAGGGAGCTCCTGTTGCTGTGAACACCTGGTGCCTGGCATGGCAAAGACAAGCCATTTTCCTAGGGAAGAGCTTGCCAGGTTAGCAGTGGCAGGTTATTAATACTTCTGGTGGCTTCAGGTGCAATATCGGATTTGCTGCCCGGCTGGGGTTTTGCCTAGATGGGCCGTTTTATCAGGCAGCAGATGGGTTGGAAATGGTGTGCTGGGACAGGGTTAACTGACTGGAATGTGAATTCTCTGCTCCCAGATCAGAAAGGGAAAGGGCTGGGGTGGAGGGCAGGAGGGCAGAACTCTCAGCTTTCCCATTTGGGGTGGAAAATGCACGTATATTTTATGGGAGGAAATGAGTTTAATGGCACCGATCATGGATCCTAAAGCAACTCTGATCAGTTGCAGAATGAATTTCCCTAATACCCGCTCCGTGCCAATATTGGGAGAGAGAATTTACGATCTTTGACTGTTTAAATTTTGCGATTCTGATCTAGATAAATAAGGAGCAGCAGGGCATATTGGCTGGACAGAAAATAAAAAAAAAATAAAATTGCATCGATCCAGATTCTGCTATCAGGTAATTGGATCTGCTCTGTGTTTTTGGACTCATGTGGGCAGAAGTTGAGGCTGCCTCTATTGCAGCGAGGTCTGAGAATAAAGCCTTGCTGGAGAGGACTTTGGATTTCTGCTTCGTTCCAGGCCAATCTTTGCGCGCCCAAATGAATTCATTTGCAGGGGAGGCAGCAGCTCTCTCCCCTCAGCAACAGCACGTGGCTCTGCAGATGGGCTGTGTGTGTCAATATGGACCGAAGTGTGAAGTCTGAAATGATTTCCCCTCCGTCTTTCGTGACACAAAGGTCTCCTGGGGAAGAACTGGTTACCGAGTCAAAAAAAAAAACCCTGTAAATTTTGTGAGGCAGAGCCTGCTCTCTGAAGAGAGGTGAAGCTTTTGTTTCTGGCTGCGCAGGATTGCAAAGCCACGTTTCTGAGCAGAAGCTGGGCCATCTGCGCCTCCAAGCACTTCAGCTTGTATCCCTGGAGCCAGGCTATGTGCTGATAGGAAAAAAAAAAAACTTTTCAAATCCATGGCAGGTTAAAATTGACAGCCCACGGCCTGACTTGGTGCAATGGGGGTAGCACACGAGCAATTTTTGGGATTATGATTCAGGGCTGAGAGGTTCTTCTTGCTTCCTAATGATCCTATGGGATGTCTGCAGGGGGGAATTGCTGTTTTGGTGGCAGGGATGGAGGGACAAAAGCTGGGTGCCTGTTTGTACACCAGCCTGTGTTTCTAGTGCTGCAGGCAGTAATGTTTTTAGAGAGCCTTGTGCACTGATGAACTATTCCTAACATTGTTTAATCACTGCATCTGCTGAAATGTGACTGTCAGCTCTCAAACTCTCAAAGGTCACGGCTGCTTTGGGGAGGCAAAACCTGGCAGAGTTTCTGCATCGCTGTGTTACGCTAGAGCTTGGCCACCAGACCAGATCTCGGAGTGAACTGTTTTGGACTGGATTCCATGGCAGCGAACAACCAGGTATTACCAAACTTTTTAATGTCAGAGAATGCAGATCACTGACATCAGCAGTGCTGATCGTTCTCGTGATTGTTTTCTGTGTGGTTGTATGCCAGTGGCAAGCTGCTTGCCTGGGATTGGAGTTGCCAAATTTTGCAGTGACGTGCCAAGTAAAGTATTTGCTAACATTGACTGATGACTGCCCTGGTGCTGAGGGCATGCAAACGATGTGTTACTTCAATCTCTGAATAGTTTAAAGAAAAATATAGACCTTATGCTATATTATATATGTATTTAATTTATAAAGGCATCTTGCCTGACACTGCTTTACCAGTCTGTGGCTACAATTTATTAAATAATCGACTAAATGGTGGCACCCAAACTTCACCAACACCTTGGTTCCCAAATACTGCTGCCTTTTTGACTGCTGTGAGCTCTGACATGATTGGATGTGCATGATGAAGGGATCTCAAGGTTTATCAGTCAATAATGCAGTGGCATCAGGATGTCTGGAGTGAGCACTGTTAATTTATTTAATGCAATTCCCCAGGATGAGTAAATGCATTTTTTCTGCACACTAGAAGATAATGCTTGATGATAGCTGCACATTGCCATAGAAACTAGGACAGGTTCAGCTGTAAGTCAAAGGTTAATTTATAATTATTTTTAAAATCATCTCACTAAAAGGCATCAGTTTAGACAGATTTTGTCCAAAACATGATTCCTTACAAAAAAAAAAATCTACCCCTCTATTCTAGCTCTTCCAAAAATACATTAACATGGTTCCTGTTTGCTGAAGGCAGATTCTCCATAAGGTGTTATACAAGATAACTGTCTGGTTTTGAGTGTTTGTAGCTATGTTTGCAAATGACAGCGTGACTGACAGCACAAGCTCTCCGTGGGATGGCTGGGGACCAGAGCACGGATGACTCATTGTGTATGATGTTGTTTCACACCAAAGTGTTTGCTCTATATACTGAACATGTGTGCGAGTCAATAGCAAAAAGTTCAAGAGCAAACACAGCTTCGGTGGAAACAAATTCGCGCTGCCTGAAATCATCATGCCCGAGTCAGGAAGCTAATTTCAGCGAGGGCAGCTGAGGAGCAAACACCCATTTACAATCGTCTTTAAAACGAGAGGCTTCCATGGGATGGGTCTCATGTCCTCTGCAGATGCTCGAGGGCCAGGCAAGGTGAGAGAAGAGGCTTGGCATTTCCTTGCAGCAACAGCCAATTTGCTCCTGGTATGGGCAGGAACAAGCTCAGGTCCCTGCTCAGATGTCCCCAGTACAGCAGCAAGAGCCAATAATCAGGTAATGTGTTTCCCTTGCAAGCACAGACTTTTGACAAAGGCTTTCTCCCCTGCCTGTCTCCCCAACTGCATTTTCAGCTGAGACTGGAATGGTTGTTTTCATATCAGGAGCTATTAAATCATTCTGCTGCCAATTAACCCTCCCCTCCAGCCCGTGCAAGTCTATAAGGCGTAATTAAAAAACAAACAAACAAAAAAAAAACACAACAACAAACCACAACTCTTTTTGATTTGATGATGCTCGTGAAGTCCTCTGGGGAGCAGCCCCAGCCTCAGGCTGGCTCAGCGATGCGGAGGTGCCCCCGCAGCTGGCTTGTCTCCTCCCAGCCGAAATAATAAGGGGCCAGGAGAACAACATACGCCAGCTCAGTGCCTCCGGGGAGCTGATGGGACCTCTGGGCCACCTCTCCTCTCGCTAGGAACATCCCTCCACAACGTATGTTGGGGGAATTTAAATCCCGAGGGACTTCTGACTGAGCATATAAAGGCAATTTCAACTGTCTTTGTGCCCCCCTCATGTGAAGATTTCAGGAGGCCTTACTGGGCTTTGAATTTTGTTCATAAATGCCTGTTTTAGGTGAGGGACTGGTTGAGACAGCATTGTGTGACAGGGAGCAGAGGGGTGAGTCTCTCACCAGTGCTTGCATGGAGGCTCTCGTGTGCTGGTAGGAGCCCATACTGGGGCTCTTGTGTCCAGGTATGAGCAGGAGCCATCAGAAAGGGACCGTCCATCTCCTGGTGCCACAGGCAGGCAACCAGGCTGCAGCACCATCCCCTGCTCCGAGCTGAGCCGAGACAGGCGAGCCACCTCCTGGGGAGCTGGGACCAGCTGGGGGGACAGGAGCAGCCTTGAAACACAGCCAGCAGGATGTCCTGCAGACCAAAGGGGTGTTACAGAGCGCAGCTGAAAAGAGGTCCCTCAGTGACTCTTAGAGCGTTTCAGTTCACCTTTAACTTCCTTAAAACGGCACACAAGTTCTCTCTGGGAAATAAAATGAAATAAAGGCAGAGGCAGGGATGTGCCTTGAAAAGCACGGGCACCTGGGGACCGCTGCCACCTTCTGCAGCCCTGCCTGCGCTGCTTGCAGGAGGCTCGTTATTGCTTTCCCATCTTCCGAAATGTGACACTGCAAAGCTAGGAGGCTGGGAAAACCGCTTTATGATGGCGTTTAAGCATTTGAAACGTGGCTTGTGTGTGTCCAATTTCCCACCAGGCGTGTGTAATGTGTATGGGTGCGAGAGAGCCTCCTGAGGAGCGAGAGGTAGAGCAGTTCTTCCAGCATTTCGTGCGTCTTGTTCAATTTATATTTAACGATACACAGAGTGTTTTTCCACCGGTTCCATTCTCCAGACCAATTTATCTGTTCGTCAGTGGGCACACACGTAAGTGCACAGAGGTATTTGCATGTCAGTAAAGATTTCAGAAAATGTCCGAGCTGCGGTGAGCCTTCATCTCTCGCCGTTAAATTCCAGGTCTCTGATGGATTTCCCCACGCTGTTGCTAGGAGATGAAGATACTGCCTAACAAAGGATATATTGACAACAAAAAAATTTTCCAGAGCAAATCTATCTTGTTATGGTAAATACACTCTCGCCTGAAATGGATATTGCGGGATTTATTTCCCCATTGGTGGCAGTGGCAAAATTGCACGCATCAAGTTAAGGCGAAATTTTCCCATCACAGATGCGTTTTTGTTTTGTTTTGTTGACTTCCAGTGTGTTTAACGCCACGAGTGCTGTTGCCTTCCAGGGTGTTTTGTTGCTAGGCTAATAGCATGAACACATCCTACATTAGTATTTTTCCCTCTTCCCTTCTCTGCTACTTTTCCCTTTCAGGAAGAAATGTGGCTTATTATAAAGGTTTCCTTTTTTTCATGACTCTTCTGGGAAACATGGATTCCTTTGTTTATTTTAACGCAGGGAAGAAGCGTGCATGTGGTAGGATTTGGCACAGAAGCAGCTGAGTGCAATGGAAAGGAAGATCAGCCTCTTGCCTTACAGCTTTAGGAACCTCTACATAAAAAAAAAAAAGGCAAGAAATGAAAGCAAGCAAACAAACAAAACCCAAAGCAAAGTCAAAACAACAAGCCACAAAGTTGAATAAAGGGAGGAACTCCAGGAATTCTCATGGAAAGACTGAATTTCTAGAAAGTGATGAATTTTATCCCTTTCTTGTGGTGACATAATGACACCCAACAAACAGATCTGAGCAGCAAAAGGAAATGTGGCTTAAACCACACAAGATAAAAGGTTCCTAGAGAATAAGTAAGTCTAGCTCTGGCCTGATGGTTGTACTCGCTCATCCCCTGCCATCCCAGCAGCTCCTATGCCACCACAAACATCTCTGGCCCTCAGCACTCATGTAAACAGCTCAGTGCCTGGGAAGATTTGAGGACTGGGAGTGAGTTTAGCTTTTATGTTGCAGGAGAAAGAAAAAGGAGCCAAGGAGAACATCGTCCCCTTCGTTTTCCTACATGCACGGTTGGGACCGACAACTTGAACTTGTGCCAGCACTACTGCATCCCTTCTTCCAAAGCCATGTGTTGGGCTGGTGGCATCTCCTGCCTGCATCAGCTGGCCCAGGTGGCCACCAAGGTGAGGCAGCTGTGCAGACATAGTCCTCTTTCCATGGGGAGAGGAGGAGACGCTGTTTTTCGGGATGTTGATGGGAACGCCTTTGAGCAGCACTTTTTCCACCACAGTCCTGGTTGTCCATGTCAATTTTTGCAGCACTGATAATCGCAAACAAAACTTGCTGGAAGCCAGAAGTCTGCATTTAATTTGTCCATGAGCTTGTGCAGGATTTTAACTGGACACAAATGCATTCAGATATTATCTCTACTTGTTTTGATGGGTGGGGAAGAGGAGACAGCGGGGAAGGGCCTTGCAGCCCCCACTGTTGCTGTGCTTATCCGGTTTTCTGCTGTAATATCCTGTTTTTAGATGCTTACAGTTTAGCCAAGCGTTAACCATTTAGGACGAGACTGACCATGCTGGGATGGGGCAGACCACGCAAAGCATAAGTCAAAATCAAGCCATGGATTTTTCCCCAGCTCAAAGCCAAGTGGGAGGAGTATTTTATTCCGTATTAAAAGATCGCTGCAATCGCTTTGCTTTGAAAGTTGGCATGGTGGTAGCATTGGGGTCACAGTGCTGTTTGCTGAACATATGGCAAACCGAGCACATTTAGCCAACATTAAAAAGAAAAAAGAAAAAAAAAAAGCAGTAACAATAAGCTCTTAAAGCACAAGCAGAACACACGTCCAGCAGAGACTTTGGTTCTGCATTTCTTCAGGATTTTCTCTTGCCAGATATGTCCTGAGGTGGAACTGGTGAGGTTTTCCCAATTAGCCACCAGTGCTGCTCTGCATCCCCATGGATCCCACTGTCAGGGGCCCCTCTGCTGTGGGCCATTGGTGTGGTGTAGGAGTGACACATGGAGGTGCAGGTGGAGGGGTAATGGAAAAAAAAGAAAAAGAAAAAGAAAAGATAGCCCAAGATGACAAAGGTGATGTCAGGGAGGTGTTTGTGAAGCTCCCAACTTCCTACTGCTCCCGAGAGCCATACCCACACCATTGCACAGCTCCAGAGAGTACCCAGAGAGTCTCCAGAGAAGTGTTGTGCAGGGCAGTGCTCCAAGCCCCTGCTCTCCACCCTTGCCTATGTCTCCTGGGTGTCAGCCAAAGCTGAACAAGGGCTTTTAAAGCTTA